TGGTAAGTAATGCATCATCACCTTGCTTGTAATCCCTAAGTTTTGTGTACATGTTTAGTAAAAAGGTCTTTGCCTTTCCCAACATCTGTTTTATTTATTTATTTATTTATTTATTTTAAATCTTGACCTGTAGGCCAATGACCCAACAATAGAACGTATCATTACACCTCGCATTGCCCTAACAACTGCAGAATATTTAGCATATGAATGTGGGAAGCATGTTCTTGTCATATTGACGGACATGAGTTCTTATGCTGATGCTCTTCGTGAGGTACATCTCTCAGCTATAACTAATTATTATTTTAGCAGTTTATTTGGAATATTGACCATATCCCATTCTATCAACTGACAATTTTGTTCTCTCTTCTGCCTTATATTTATTTGTTTCCCATTTCTCGACCTTTCTACAATATATATATGCTTTTCTCTGTATATCTGTCTTGGCTTCGTATAATATTTCTTTCTTTAGATACTTCCAAATATCATCTATCTATATCTATAACTCCCTTAAAAGGATGAGTTATTTTTTGAAAATTTTGAAATGCCCATATTACCCTCTAAAGTTTTACCATTTAAGGACATAAATGTAATAATATAACTTCATTAATATCTCTTCCAACCACATTGAAATAAAATCTGAAATGTCACTACTACCCCCAATAAAAAATAATGTTACTTCTAAAATATTGTATTATGTTACTTCCAAAAATTTATATTATGTCTTATTCCAAATACATTTACTACTTGTAATATAAACAATCAAAATTGTCAAATAACAATTTAAATTTTAATTAGAATAAATGACATATTAAAACACATGACTTAATATAAAATTGTTTCAAATAATTTCAAATAAAACGTTTTAAATCATATTTTGATGTTTTAATCATGAATGTCATGACATAGTACTCAATTTTTTCTTATAATATTCCTTGTGTATATTATAATTAATAATTTTTTATGATATTAATCTACTGAAAAAAAAATTGACCGGTATCCAAATTTTTAAATGAATGTATTGGCACAACTACAAAAGTAAGATTTTTTTCTGTACAAATATTAAAAATTCTTGTAATGCAAAGTTAATAAAAAAATTAAAAAAATAAATAAATAATCAATTGAACTAACCTTTTATTGAAACCAAACATTTATCTATTTAACTAATTTTTTTTCAACGTCATAATATATTAATCTTTTTTATTCTTATTGTATTATTTTATTATAAATATATTATTCAATTAACTTATGGTTCTCATTGTTTTTTATTATTTACCAAATATTTGTATGTTATTTTTTTAATTAATTTTTTAAATATTAATGTATTAAAATGTTTGTATGCTATTTTTTTCATTCATTTTTCTTAGTATTAAAAATAGGTATTCAACATAATAAAATATCAATGTTTTATGGAAAAAAAATATTAGTTAAGTGCAAATATATAGTTTTAATAGAAATACTTTGTTTAAATTATACATTAAAATATATGCATGATACAAGTTAACTTTATCTGTTAGTAGTATCTACACTAACATCTACAGTATAAATGTTCTTTTATGGTAATATGTGTTACATAAATTAATCTACTATTTACTTTAATTGTAATAGAAATCAAAATATAGTAATTATAAAAATAAAATAAAATAAGTAATACTCGATTTTAAAATCTTGAATTTCAAAATATGTGTACTTGTTAGAAAATATATAGTTATAATAATTATAATTAATTAAATAAAAATAAATATTACATTTACTTTAAATTTATTTCAATAGACTATCTTATTATAAATCATAGATAAATTTAATTTTTCAAATCACTTCTTAAAACTAGGAAACATAAACCTTGTAAAAATATTGACAAATATATAAAATAATGTTAAGATAAAAGTAAAATATGAAAGGATCATGATTTTACAATTTATTTAAAATATAATTATTATTTTTGTCACTTGTTAGATAGTCTTGAAAATTCATGAACGAAAATGATAATGCATGTATGACAGTGTTAGGAGATGTAACAATAATTTATTTTGGACAATATATATAGATAAGCACCTTCGATTAACCAATGTTACAACATTATATATAGATAGATGGGAACCTTTAATCAATCAAGGATGTTATTGTTTCTAATTTCAAGTAATTGTTTTTTAAATATTTACAACTTTAGATATATTTTCAAATATTTATATCTCTTATATCATTATAAACAGAGAGAAAATATATAACTAAATATTACGAAATATTACACGTGCAAATATAATTGAATTTGCAACCGTTATAATCAAAATAATAGAGAACGAAACATTCAACCACAGCTTCCAATCAACAATAAGCAAATGATAATTACAAATTATAGTTATAGTAAATTCGAGTTATTATTCAAATAGTAAGACGCAAAAGGAAGACATTAAAAAAGATATTATTTTCACACTAATAATGATCATTATTGTAAGCATAAGGATGATATCACTAAATAACAAAATCAAGGACGACATAGATTTCTTCAGCATTTCAAATTTCAAAAAAAAAAAAAATATTAGTTTTATTTTAGATTTTCTAACTAATATTTTTTATTTAATTTTATTTATCATCGAGTTCTGTTAATAGTATTAAAATTTATATTTTATCATAAAATACACAATTTTTTGTTAAATAATGAAAAGAAAATTATATTGTGCTATTAAATTAAATATATAATAAAAATAACTTCGAGTAAAAAAAAATAATATCACGTGCGTAGCACGTGCAACTTCCTAGTGCTTATAAACAAGAGTACTTATTTCATTTTAGGTCTCTGCCGCTCGAGAGGAAGTGCCTGGAAGACGTGGATATCCCGGTTATATGTATACTGATCTGGCGACCATTTATGAAAGGGCTGGACGTATTGAAGGACGAAAAGGGTCCATTACGCAAATTCCCATTTTAACCATGCCCAATGATGGTAAAAACTGTAGTAATTGACTAATTTCGATCGTTTGCATCTGAAAATCATTTATTTTCTCTGTATTGTTTCCTATATTAATCTTATGCTCTCTTATTTTTGTTTTGGTTTATTGATCAGATATCACACACCCAACTCCAGATCTCACCGGTTATATCACTGAGGGGCAGATATACATTGACAGACAGCTTCATAATAGGCAGGTATGTGGGGATGCCATTACTTTTTAATAGGTTATCTAAAAAACCACGAAACCCTCTTTAAATGTTGGACAAGTATATAATATGTTATATGTTGGGCTCTTACTGTCTGAATATTGTCTGCCTGATTTTTACAGATATACCCTCCAATTAATGTGCTTCCATCATTGTCTCGTCTAATGAAGGTAAATAGGAATACATGCAGTTTGTTAGGGTTGGCATTGCTAATTATATTATGTTATATTTTGCGATTATAATTATTTTTGTATTTTCTCATTCTGAGTATTGATGTTGTTCTGTACAGAGTGCTATTGGTGAGGGCATGACCCGTAGGGACCACTCTGACGTGTCCAACCAGGTAATTTATCCGATATCTCATTATCAGAGTTGATTTGATTATTTATTTATTATTATTTGAGTGATTATTGATTACATATCTATAATTTGTACGTAGTTATACGCCAACTATGCCATTGGGAAGGATGTTCAGGCAATGAAAGCAGTGGTTGGAGAAGAAGCCCTTTCCTCAGAAGATTTGGTTTGTTATCTTATTCCACACATTTTATTACTACAGTATCTGTTTCCTTTTCTTTTTTTCTTTCTTTTTTTTTTTTTTGAGAAAACTTTTAAGTACTGAATTTAATAATATGTAATTAATGATTGCACCACTTAATTTTGTGTTCAGTTGTACCTCGAGTTCCTCGATAAATTTGAGAGGAAGTTCGTCACACAGGGAGCCTACGACACACGTAACATTTTCCAGTCGCTCGATTTGGCATGGACATTGCTCAGAATCTTCCCTCGGGAGCTGCTTCACCGTATTCCAGCGAAAACACTCGATCAGTATTACAGCAGGGACACATCCAATTAAATACGAGGGGCTTTACGAGATGGAAGTTCCTGTTTGTTGCTGCGCGAATTTGCATTATGTTTGTTTGATCATGTATTTTATTGGGGTGTTTATTTGATCTCTTATCTGTTTTTGAATAAGTGATGAGATGTTTTGTTTTGAGCTGGGGAAAGACATTATTCTTTGGAGATGTGTAATTCATTTATAATTAGCGTCAGATGCAGTTTTTAAATGAAGAGTTTCGGACCATCTTGTGGTGTGGACGATGATATATGCCTTTTCCTTCCCTCGGGATTTGTAGGTAACCGGACAATGGTGTGGTCTCTGTATCATTATTTTTAAAATAACAAATAAATAAATAAGAGTTGTTTGTAGATTTGGTTTGTTTTTGAATCGTTTTCGCTGTACCATGTATGATATGATTCATAAATTCGTCGTGTGAGACCGGCAATTCTCGAATTTTATTCAGCAATTTAACAGGACATAGAATTCAGTCCACCATTAGAATATCTATAATAAGACTTTCTATTTATCTTTGCGAATTCTGTCATATTTATCATAAAATTAAAAATATACTCATGTGCACGCCTTCGTAACCAATTTTTGCTAAGAACTATGACAAAATGATCCTTTAGAGGCAAATTTTTTAGTCCTTACTCCTTACCATTTTATTCCAGTAAATAACAATGATTAATCCAGCTTGGTCTTATTCGGCTAAGTTCATCGATCACTTAACTCGACCTACTTGTTCTGATTCCAGAGTTGCAACAATCAACGCATTTTGCACATTTTCTTTTGGAATAACACTAATGCTGGTTCGTATGTTGTTTACAAT